ATCTACTTAAAGGTGCTTAAAATGTGCTTAAAACATACCTTTTTTAATAATGAACAAAATTAAGTATGTTTTAAGTATATAGTATATTTTAAGTGTGTTTTGAGTATAATTTCATATACTTGAAACATACTTGAAACTCACTTAAAATGTTCTTGTTCTCTTCCATCAGTATATTTTAAGTATATTTTAAGTGTTCCAAATAAATTTGTCAACATCACAAGGTAAAAGTTCATCAAATTCTTCGTGTAACAACTAGATAATCAATGGGTCAAACAATGAGTAAAAAAAATAAAAGATAATATTTAGTTTCAGAAATTGTTTAATACTAACTCTTATCTCACATATACCAATTTTGCTCTCAATTTTCATAATCATTGCTTGTGAAAGTTTTGATACTGATATTTCTTCAATCCTTTGTCTTGCAAATGCATCATTCACTGCATCTTTTATAATTTTTGCAATCCTATTTTCTTTCTAAAAATATTTAATTAAATTAAATAATTGTAATATAAGAAACTAAAGACGTCATTAAATTATCAGGAACTTCATTAACTTGAGAAGTGAGACACTCATAGACTTGACTTTTGGTTGGGCTTTTTTCTTTTATTACTTTAAAAATAATTTCCATAAATAAATAAAAATAAATAAATAATTGATAAATAATTGGTAAATAATAAAATAAATTACTTGAAGAATTTTTTAAATATCTTTCAATTGATTGTGGTTCCCAATCTTCTTTATCAGACCAATCATCTAACAAACTAGATAGAAATTAAAGTTTAATAATAGTCACCAAACATTAACCAAGATCATACAATTAATAATAAAAAAACATTTTGATAAAACCTACAATTTACTATTGGTTTTTTCTAATGATGTTAGCCGTTTAAAAATCCTTAGCCGGCTAAGCCGTTTACGACCTAAATTGGTAATTTTATTTCTATAACAAGAAAGTAACGCAGAAATCCGTTACCAAATTTAGAAATTATGCATGCAGATTATTAGCCGGCTAACATCACTAGTTTTTTCACAAACATTATTACCACCACTATTACGACTATTATTAAAAATAGATAATAATCTAGAGCCTCAGGAGTCTTTTGAATCTCTTTTGTCATCACTAACATCCAAATAATTATCACTACTAATACCAAGTCAACAATTGAGCTACCACTGATTGCATTCAGTTTTTGATCTAGCTTTTTTTTTTTATAACTTTTTTGACTTGATCCTCTTTCATTATTTGTGACATTACCGTAAAGTCTGGAAAGATAGCACCCCCTACTTTAAAACAATTGAGCGTCAATATAAAAAAATTGTTACACATA